TTCAAATTGGCCACACCTTCTTCTAAATGGTCCCTATACAATAACTCAGGATGATGTAGTTTTGTTCTTGTATATATGTAAGGAATACCAATTAAATAGTATTATATTACCTGGAGGTCCAGAACTAGTGCAGACCAAAACCAATCTGGCATATTTTTTTTCATTAACTTGAGCCTTAAAAGTTTGATAAGACGACTCTTGTGGATCCTTGGCTTTCAAAGTTATGTTGTAACCGGAAGCAGCAGAATGCACGGTCTTGGTGAATTGCGTTATGTGACCGAGCTGCAACGATTTTCCCTATATTCAAAAAATTGAAATTGAACAAAGAAAGAAATGGATTGATAGAGATATATATATATAATTGAACCGAGCATAAAGGAGTAAAGCCCTAAGATCAGTTTGTTTGTTATTGATGATCGAGAAGAAGAATCAATTAAAAACAAACAAGCAGGTACGACATACTCTTCCTTCTCACAACCACCGTCTTTTGACTTGAACCTCGACGCCTTCGGCATCTTCTCTTCGGATTCGGATGGATGCTTTTAGGTCGATTTAGGTTTACTTCACTCCACGCCATTTTATATACCTCACTTATGGGCTTTAACTGGGCCTTCACAGCCCATTTGAGATCGGTTAATGTCGATGAATTGGACCAAGTTGAAGGCGAAGTAGCACCGCCTAGTTACACAAACACAACAGGCTCGTCTCTGCTCAAGCAAACAAGTTCAATGTCTTGATGCACAAGAAAGGGATCCTTTTTATCTAGCCAATACAATAAATTATTTTCTTCTATGAAATACTTTGCAAGTCTGTTGATGTTTCAGAATAAAACCCTCCTAGTCACACTACCTAATTTCATCAACTTGTCTAAACAAAAACAGATGCATAGCGTTGACTTATTCTTTATCTTCCTCTTAGTTCCAAATTGGAGCTGAGATGTCAGTCACTTCAAAAAAGGTAACAGCAAGTACTCTGCATAAAAGAGCTGATGCAAAAAATGGAGAAATTATCAGTATAATGGTGATTTGATGATATTGAAAGAATATTTTAGTTCCAAATTGGAGAAGAAAAAAGGCGATATATATACTGTATTTATAAACCAATCGCACCTTCCAAATGAACATATAACATGAAGTTATTTCGGTTTTGCTACTCAGATCAACGGACTTAGCTCGAGTCCACAAAGTTGTTGCGAGTATAACATGACCCACAACCTAAAAAAACACCAAAAGAACATAACAAAATGAAACCTTTATCACTCAAACGATGAATTAGCGAGTTTTTGATGGGTAAAGAAAGATTGTTACCGAGATGACTTTGCTCCATATGAATGGAGATGTGGCTCCAACAAGAATCGCAACAGCGTAAGCCATTTGAAGTAGTGAAATACATGTCCAAAACACCTGAGTTTTGCAAGAAACAAAAATAGTTTTCTTTCGTCTGTAATCTTAATCCAACCCTTGAGTCAAAACAAACTCTTTAGTTTCGAAACTTTACCCGTTTCTGACCCAGAGTTACAGAGAATGACCGGATCCCGAATATCTTATCCCCTTCAATATCAGGTATATCCTGCATCCAACCAAAAGAGAAAACTTCTCATCAATAACAGCAGAATGCTTTACTTTAAGTATACATAGATTTAACCTTTTAACATCTTTGTTTACCTTAAACAATGCGATAACGACAGAGAAAAAGCTCATAAACGCAGTGGCGAAAATAAGAGGCCTCGTGAACAAGATTGGTCTTCCAAACACATGGGTCTGCAACAAAGTTTCACAGCTTTGGTAACATAAAAGTGATTTTGATAAAAAAAAAAAACTTCAAAACAAAGGAAAATAGTTTAGTACCTGAATATGGAGATAAAAGGCGATTTGAACAATAATAGCTCGGACAGCGAGGATACACATTGCTGCAACCAATGCAAATCTTTTCCACCGTAAAAGTGGCAACTGTTTGTAGTTATTAAAACCTCATTAACCCATAACAAGAAACCGCGATTTTGATTTGATCCAAATCCTAGTAGTGAAAAACTTACTTACATTGATAGAGTATGCAGTACCGAGCATGAAACTCACGAAAAGAGCCCAGAACAATGGCCATGAACCAACAATCCACCCGAGCCAGAAACTCTATAACGATTTAATAATAACCATAATTATTTATGTAACTTATAGAATTCTAAAAGTTGAAATTTTGTGAATATGGAACCATACCATGATGGAGAAGGAAGCTACTATTGCAATGCCGGTGTTAACAGAATATTCCCCTGATGCCAATGGAAGATATGGCTTGTTGACCTGCAAAATCCAACAGAGAGTATGATCTAGGGACTAGCGGCAATTAATCTCATCAGTCTCTCAAACTCATATGAAGAACACACGCATGTTACCTTATCTATTTCAACATCAGACAGCTGATTTAGCCCAACTATGTATATGTTCATCATGAGAGCTGCAACAACAGCCTGAAAACAAAACCCAATTGTTCAAACAGAAAAACGATAAATGTATCTTCTTGATCGGTCATTATGTGTTTTATATTCATTACCTCCAAGATGCCAGTAAAAAGTAATGGAGATATATCAGAAACCTTCTCTACTGCTAAGAAAGATACAGATAAAATGCTAAGCACCTGCAAACCCAATCACAGAGCTAATGTTATCTCCTTGAAAACCCCGAAAGATTGCGGTTAAAAGAGATTCATTTCTCAAGAGAAACTTAACTGTGCCGATAACTGTATGAGGCCTAGAAAACCTGTAAAACGCATCTAACGAGTCTCTAAAAGACTTCTGTTTGCTATTCGCATCGAAAGCCTCGGGCTGACCCGCAGTGGCATTAACCCGAAATCTCGACTTATCTTTCGAATACAACAACAATGAAGATTCTTGACCATCAAGCCTAACAAGATTGTTCCTAAACTTCGGTTTAGCGACAACTTTACTCGAATCACAACGCAGAACTCGAATTTCTGCAAAATTGGGTATAAGAATCTCAAATCAGCTACTAAAACCAAAGAAGAACTTTTAACTAATTCCAATATACATTGTCTCATAAATTCCAAAGTAGAAAATGTGAATCTTCAAAAACCCATAAAACCCTAACGCACCTGATAAAGAGTGGAGCTTTAGATTCTGCTTCCTCCAACAAAACCCACCAGCTGATTGATAAAGTTGCATGCATGAGAACCAAAATTCAAAGTCAAGCCCAGAAATTAAGCTTCTCCACATAAAAAGAAAAACTGTCACCTACTTCGATCTAATAAAACAATTCAATAAAAAAAAAAAATCGAAACTTTTTCTTTTTTATAATCAGAATTATTCAAACTTTTGTATGGTACTGAATCATAACAAATAAACCTGAAACCAGAAAAAGGACGAGAGATTTTACCAGCGGAAACAAGAGAAGAACTAGAGAGCAGCGACTCCATTAAAGAAAGCTTCTTCCTTTCGTACAATTTACTCGTCAGAGAAGAATATCAAAATCAAAATCAGAGACCAAAGAAGTGATTTTTGGAAACCAAAGAAATGATTTTTGAGAACAGAGAGCAAAAAGAAAAGGTTTTAGCATGAGAACTGTAGAATTGTGTGGGTCGAGGATGATTAATTGGTGTCATTGTTGCGTGTTTTTTTTTAATAATTTTGAATTATTAGATTAGATTTGAAAATTATAATTTGACCTTTTTGGGAAATTTAGGGAATGTAATTAGAAGAATTATTAGACTCTTTTTAGGAATTTAATAGATTAAGCAAAAAATGTGGTGTAGATTTGCCACTTGTTTCTAGTTAAAAATATCTGACTCTGCCGGACGAGGAAAAATATCACGTGTTGTCCTTTAGTTTTGTTACCAAACAAAAGTATGGTGCCTGAAATTAAATATAGTGAAACATATGGGGCAAAAGAAAATTTATGTTTTCTGTCTTTTGGACGAGGGAGGAGGATTCGGCATTTACGGGTTACGGTTCTTGTTTTTTTAACCACCGGTTATAAACTTTCTTAGTCTTAACCGTATAGTATACATTTGAAAGTTTAAAACGGTTATTGATAATATTTGGTTACAGAAAATATGGTTTTATGGTTTAGTGGTTAAATATCTAATTTAATTCAATTGGTTAAGTGCTCAAATTGGTCTAATCAACCAATTTATATAGATTCGCGTATATTTAAACTAAATTGGTCTAATCAAATTAAAACGTGATCTGAGTAGGCAGAGGTAAATAATGCAAGGACTCTGGTCAGCTTTTCGAGTTGTCGAATAAGAAGTGACGAATTTTTGTAAATCCGAGAAAAACGGATGAGTATTCTATTCAATATGTATTATTATTGCCTTTTATTCCTAAGAGTGGTCATAATTAAGCCGCGTGCAAAAAAAAAACTATTTGATTTTTAGGGGTGACACCTTTATCCAGGGATAATTAATTATCCAGGGAGTACTTAATTATTCAAAGTACTAAATTTAAAGTTCTTCTATTTTTATCCAAAACCGTGTTATGTAAAATTGTGTTAAGAAAGCGCTCTTAGTTCAGTTTGTGAACTCAGTTAAATCTCAAAAATTACACTTCAAAAATCATAAGTTTTCATTCACAAATACAACTCTTTTTTATGACATCACTTTTATCGATCACAACAATTCTTCACTATATATATATTCTCAAACGCTAAGAAAAGAAAGAGCGGACAAGGTTTTAACCGTCGTTCACAATATTATCGCCCCAAAAGATCGCAATAGATAGTTGTTGATTTCTTTTCACATTTGATCTATTTTTCTTATACCTTCGTTCTACACTTGGTTTAAATTTGGTTCGGTTCGGTTCGGTTCGGTTCGGTTTAATTGAAAAAAAAACAGTCGGTAAGACTCGTAGTCGTAAGTCGTAACGCATCATCTCGAAAGGCCAATCTTGTTCCGATAGGGACCAGTCCCTTTTACGGCCATTCAAAATCTCAACTTCAACCAAAAACCCCCAAAGGCGCTAACTTTTTCTTCTTTTATCTTTCTTCTTCACTCACTCTTCTCCTTCACCACTATCAATCACAATCCCCAATTCGGATAACCCAAAAATGGACGGAGCACTCTTCCCTCACAAACCTCCATACCCAATTCAATCCAAAAGATCTCCACCACCTCAATCCTCTAACCAATCTATCAAATTCAGCTCCGCTACACTTCACTTACCTCCTCCTTCTCCTCCTTCTTTCCCTCTCGATTCTCTTCTTCACCATCTCGTTCACCTCTCTTCCACGCCTCCACGACATGCTGCTGCTCGTTTCCCTTCTCTTGAAGTCTCCACATCATCGGCTCATAAATGGCGTCACGAGTCGACGAAACCCATGTCGAGTTCTGTTCTGGGTGTTGAAATTGAGAACGAGAGAGATGGGTCTTTGAAGCTACTGTGTAAGAAAGAAGTTGTCTTGGTTAATTCCATTGTTGAACAGCCTTTGCCAAGGTTAAGCAGTTTCTTCGATTCGGTGAAATCTGAATTGCTTACAACTGATTTGGTTAGTTTGGTTAAGGGTCTGGATGATTCTGGGCATTGGGAAAGAGCTGTTTTTTTATTTGAATGGTTAGTTTTGTCTTCGAATTCCGGAGCTTTGAAGCTAGATCATCATGTTATCGAAATCTTAGTTAGGATTTTAGGTAGAGAATCTCAGTACTCTGTTGCAGCTAAGTTGCTCGATAAAATTCCTCTACAAGACTATATGCTCGATGTTCGTGCTTACACGACGATCTTACATGCGTATTCACGGACTGGGAAATATGAAAAGGCTATCAATTTGTTTGAGAGGATGAAAGAGATGGGTCCTTCACCTACTTTGGTCACTTACAATGTGATTCTCGATGTTTTCGGGAAAATGGGTCGGTCTTGGAGGAAAATTCTTGGGGTTTTAGAGGAAATGAGAAGCAAAGGATTGAAGTTTGATGAGTTTACTTGTAGTACTGTGCTATCTGCTTGTGCAAGAGAAGGTTTGTTAAGAGAGGCCAAGGACTTTTTCGCTGAACTTAAGTCATGCGGCTATGAACCTGGAACTGTAACTTACAATGCTTTGTTGCAAGTTTTTGGTAAAGCAGGAGTTTATACAGAAGCATTAAGTGTTTTGAAGGAGATGGAGGAAAACAACTGCCCAGCTGATTCTGTGACATACAATGAGCTTGTTGCTGCTTATGCTAGAGCCGGTTTTAGCAAGGAAGCTGCTGTTGTCATTGAGATGATGACGCAAAAGGGTGTAATGCCGAACGCAATCACTTATACTACAGTGATAGATGCATATGGAAAGGCGGGAAAGGAGGATGAGGCTTTGAAGCTGTTTTATAGTATGAAAGAAGCTGGTTGTGTTCCGAATACTTGCACATACAATGCAGTGCTTAGTATGTTAGGGAAAAAGTCGAGATCCAATGAAATGATAAAGATGTTATGCGATATGAAGTCTAATGGATGTTTCCCTAATCGGGCCACTTGGAACACAATACTTGCTCTGTGTGGGAATAAAGGTATGGATAAGTTTGTGAACAGGGTGTTCCGTGAAATGAAGAGCTGCGGATTTGAACCTGATAGGGACACATTCAACACGCTGATTAGTGCTTATGGGCGATGTGGTTCAGAGGTTGATGCATCAAAAATGTATGGTGAGATGACAAGAGCAGGGTTCAACGCTTGTGTTACAACTTACAACGCGTTACTTAATGCCTTGGCTAGAAAAGGAGATTGGAGATCGGGCGAGAATGTGATTTCCGACATGAAAAGTAAAGGTTTCAAACCCACTGAAACATCTTATTCCTTGATGCTTCAGTGTTATGCTAAAGGAGGGAACTATCTAGGAATAGAGAGAATCGAGGAGGGGATAAACGAGGGCCAAATATTCCCGAGCTGGATGCTTTTGAGAACACTACTTCTCGCAAACTTCAAATGCCGAGCACTAGCGGGATCAGAGAGAGCATTCACATTGTTTAAAAAGCACGGATACAAACCTGACATGGTGATTTTCAACTCAATGCTCTCCATTTTCACGAGGAACAACATGTACGATCAAGCAGAGGGGATTCTTCAGTCTATCCACGAGGACGGGCTAAACCCGGATCTTGTAACCTACAACAGCCTCATGGACATGTACGTAAGAAGAGGAGAGTGTTGGAAAGCCGAAGAAATCCTCAAGACTCTAGAAAAATCCCAGTTAAAACCGGACCTGGTCTCTTACAACACGGTGATCAAAGGTTTCTGCAGAAAAGGGTTGATGCAAGAAGCGGTTAGGATGCTGTCTGAGATGACAGAGCGTGGAATCAGACCGTGTATTTTCACTTACAACACGTTTGTTTCGGGTTACACGGCGATGGGAATGTATGGAGAGATAGAAGATGTGATTGAGTGTATGGCGAAGAATGATTGCAGACCAAATGAGCTGACGTTTAAGATGGTTGTGGATGGTTATTGCAGAGCAGGGAAGTATAGTGAAGCTATGGATTTTGTATCCAAGATTAAGACCTTTGATCCTTGCTTTGATGATCAATCTATTCAACGGCTTGCTCTCCGAGTACGTGAGAATTTAGAATCCTAAATCAATTTTATATATAAATTTTTTGTAGATTTGGGTTTTTTTTTTTTTTTTTTTTTTGTATTGAATCTACATTTCATTCACTTTAAATTAAGCAAAACTTTGATGATGAATAACAAAAATAATATTCTCTTACTAATAAAAGGGACTATTTGACACATCATCTTTTTAAACGACTACCGTAAGTTGACACATCATCAGAATTATCCACGTCAGCATACCTAGAAAAAAATCTCCCCATTATGCTCATTCAATCCTTATTTCTTCGTAACGATGCAATCGATCCAACTTCCCCCACTACTCCCGTACTTAAATCCTCTTCCGAAATTGCCTACAAAAGCTCAATCGTCGATCAACGAAAAAACTTGCAAGCAGTCTCTACACTCTACAGTTTATCTCAGCAGAAATCGAATAAATCAAACTAGGCTTTCTGAGAATTCAAAATAGGATCTTATTAGTGATTCCTGTTAAAGATGAGACTCAGACTCTAAGAGTGGGACAGGCTATGCAACGATGTTGGGAAGCGGAGATTACATCATTTTAGGCTCCGAAACTTGGTCTCTTCATTGAGACGTCCCTGTTTGCTCTGGCTTGGGTTCATATCATCAGAGTTATTGTGCCGGGGCTCACATTCTTACTGCTAATTTCTTCATATTTGACTAGCTTAATGAATTTGATGTTTAGTGATTCTCTGAGAATTAGGTATATGTGTAATTAAAGAAGAACAATATGTAAAACTTATTAGGTTATGAGTTGATTTTTTTTTTACTATTGAGTTGAGAAATTCGAGGATTTGTATCTCAATGACTTGATGAATATACAGTCATTTTGGTATGCATCTATGATATTCTAGGTAATAGTTAGCTGCAAATTATCAGAATTAGAGTGATCGTTGATGCTGAGCATAACATGTCTTGGCTTTGTTTAATTGGGTATGTTGTTGTGCAGTAAAGATAATGATCTTTGGATAAGTGATTGGTTGTGAAGATATTACCATGTATTAGGTTTTAAACTCATGCTATTGTATTTTAGTAACTAGAATTTAACCCGTGGTACACCGCGTGGCTATATTTTTTTAAAAAATATAATGTTATTTTTTAAAGTTTAACTGAAGATATATCATATTAATTTGTATTTTTAAATGTAGATATCTATCTATGTATTATCTAGTGTATGATTACTATTGTTTAGGTTTCAATTTTTAAAGTATAGATACGAAAACATACATTTTTTTTAAGTAACGATGTATGGTGGATTTTAAAATTTTGAATATTTGACTCCGAAGTATACCGTGGGTCGGTTTTTTAATAACTAAAAATTTTAAGTTGTATTTGTTTTGTTAATATTGTTTCTTTTGTTTTGTGTTTAAGATTGTATAATTGTATTTTGATTGTTAATTTTAGGATTTCATCCTTAATATACCGTTATTAATATCGACCCAAACCCGTCATTCCATATAAACCCGTCTATATTATCCCATTAGCTAAATTATTAGTGTTATAAAATCCAAGAAAATAAATTATTATTGTAATAAAATCCAATAATTTTAGGATCTCACCTGTGGTATACCGTTCTTTGAATGATTTTAAATTTATATTACTAATATATATTTTAAATTTATCATATAAAATATATGATTTCAGGTTTTTGTGTTTTTATTTTATTTAAATAAAGCAACGGCTTAAATGATGACATATATAGTTTTTTTCTTGTATGTGTATATAATTTTTCTATGTGAATATTTTGATTATTATAAATTAGTATTTTTATTACTATGCAAAATGTTAATATAAATATTTGCTATAAAAGTTTTTTGAAGATATATGGAAAGATTGTGTAGAGATTTTTAAAAACAAATTAGGCAAGATATTGTTTGGTTCATATCTTTTATTTAAATTTTGTAAAAGTAAATAATAAATGCCAATGGCATTCTTTGTAAATACATTCCAACTCCAGGATTTATTTGCTAAAAGTCATCCAAAAATGTATATATAGATTGGTATCTTACAAGTATAATTATTAGGTTATGTGAAATCACTCATGGTTCACCGGAGACCAAAAAAAAAAAATAGATGGAGAATTATCCCAACTCTCATGGTAAGTAAAGTCTAGCATGATTGAATCCTTTTAAGGGTCTCATTTGTTTAAATATTAAATCACTATGCATGACTGTGGCAAATAAGGGACATTGCTTTGTAAGCGGTATGAAAGAAAGATAGTTTTTGTTGGATCAAAAATCCTGTCACTCAACATGTTTTTATATATATATATATATTATTTTTTTTGTAGATTTGGGTTTCTTTTTTTTTTGTATTGAATCTATTTAAATTAAGCAAAACTTTGATGATGAATAACAAAAATAATAATAATACATGTTTCTACTCTTTAGAGAAGATTTACAAGCTAGGCTTTACTTTTGATAGAGTTTTTGAGATCGAAAGTAGAAGAATACTTGTATATTTTGTGTTCTTAGTAGTTAGTAGCAAACTTAATTATACATAAAAGAAAGGAAATCGGAGGAAATGGGAACTCTTGGTTCATTCCCAACATGCTTAAGTTCACAAAAACCCTATTGTTCCACTTTTAGGTATTATGTTATAGTATTAATATTGAAAGCATGTTTTGTAAGATGACTCTTTACACTTAAAACTAATTCCTGAAATCTGCAGCAGCGTCATCATCATCATTCAACCATCTCTTTGCTAATGGCTTGCCATCATTAGCTCCCGTTTCGAGGAAAAACCAGAGACCAATAAGAGTATCTAACAATGAGAACGTCTCTAAAACCGAAGAGAGACCTGAATGGTCCGCTTATGTACCTAAACCACGTAACAAGACGTGGCTCGACTACTTGTTCATTTTTTTGATACACATGATTGATGGTTTTTTTAAAGTTTTGTAAGTATTTATTTTACTTCTTTGAGTGCGGCCTTATTCGTTCGCTTGTTGGTGGCAGCTGCGACCGACCAACAACCGTCTCTAGCGAGATAACAATAAGATGTTGGTCGTTTTGATATCGTAGGAAAATTGCTACGATTTGTTCGTTTCGTTCTCGCGGTTGCGATTTAGTAATATACTAGATTCGGACCCGCACGTTCGTGCGGGGTTATGTTTGTAGATGTGTTTATTTGGTATAACATTCATTTTCCTATCTCATATCAGTTTGGTATTCAGTTTAGTTTCAATTTGGTTTAGACAAAATAATTAATCGGATTTGTTTTTGGTTACAGTAAAGACAATTACATAATTAAAAAAAGAGAGAGAAAATAGACATTTCAATTTTGAGACAGAAAATCCGTATGGTCACATATCTACCACACACATTTAATCACATAAGCATTAATTTACTCGTTTGTGATTGTATATTGTGTAGATCTAGGATTCGGATGGAATACCCGTATATTATGTATCTTTCGTTTAGGTATTTAATTTTTACATAATTAGTGGAAGTTATCCATATTTTCTTTATTTTCTCAATATTTGACTATTATGTTTTAGAAAATACCCAATTATTTCCCAAAATTTCCTTCACAAAATAAACTTTACCCGTCCCAAAATCTTTTATTTGGCACATGCTATGCTAGATAAATTGAAAGAAACATTTTAATTATATGATTGCAATCAATGTTTTATTTTAATTGTAATATGATATACGACATTTTTTTAGAAATTCTCATCTCATCCCGTTCAATCTCGATCCCATCCTAAAATTTAAATAGGACATAAATAATCATGTTTTTCGGTTTTTGAAATTCTCGCTCCCTAGAAATTCGGTCCGAATTGCCTTAAACATCCACACAATCGAGCGTATAACTTTTAATAGTACAAATATGGAATGTTGATCTGCAGTCATGAGGGACACTCGAGAATCAAAACTTCATGTTCGAGTTCTACTGCAAGCGTTTGAACTTTATTTACCTGTCTACAGCTTAGACAACTTCTCTTTCTACTCGTCTTAATTAATTTTTACCGTTATATTTATTCAAAGAACACTTACTTTGATATGGATACTTTTCTACAACTTTTCCTACTTCAATGAGTTTTTTGTTTAGAAATATAGTTTACTCATATATTTGTGTCAAATTTTGTTGGAAAAAAGTATGCATTCACTCTGTCTAGCTTTGTAAGATCAATGATTTGTTTCAATCTGTTTCTGTGAATTAGTTTATATGTCGTATTTATGTATATGTTAGAACAAAAAACAATACAATAATACAACACAACCCGAGAACTAACATATATTTTCCTTGCATTAGATAGCCAAGATTCGTAACATGTAGAAAATGTATCGCAGTATGAAAGGTGTTTACCTGTCAAATTGAAAAACAAAAGGCTACATTCAGATTTGTAATTTTTTTCTGTCTCCAAATTATTTTTGTATACGTTTAGATTTATATTTGTATTTAAGTCAAAACAATCGATTGTTTTTATATAAAACAACCAAGAGATTCACACATGAACAACACATTGCTATTAAAGAAGAAGAAGATTCAAGAAATAGCACCATGTGTTTCATTGAAGTACCTTTAGGAAACACGTATAATTAGTTAATAGTACTGAATAATCGACTTCTATATTTATAGGATACAAAAAGTCGGTTTCAATATTTAGGGTTAACACACTATTATAATCTCAACAATATGTTTGCGAATCAAAGTATTAAATATAGATTCGAGTTATATGCTTGATTTTTTTTTTTAAAAAAAATCTATAATTAGAGTTATATTTGGCAAGTATAATAACTGTTGTGATATGATTTCGCAAACTAATTTAAGATTTAATTTAATCGTAAACAGTTGTATTTTTCATTTTTGTTATTTTGAATTTATTATTGTCGATTGTTATGGAAACCTTTTAAAATCATAACAGTAAATTTAGTTTGTTTGAGTCTTGGATAGAAAAGACAGGAAAATCTTTTTGAATATATACTAAAAAATGCTCCAACGAAAGAAATATATATTCTTTTTGAATATATTTTTTTGACCAAAAGAAAAATGCTCAACAAAATATATATATACTTTTTGAATATA